AGTCCTCTGAAAACAGCAAAAGAATTGTGGGATTCTTTGGAGAAGAAATACAAGACAGACGATGCCGGCACGAAGAAATTTGTCGTCGGTAAATTTCTGGATTTTGTTATGGTAGACTCCCAAACGGTAATATCTCAAGTTCAAAGTTTTCAAATAATTTTGCATGATATTCATTCAGAAGGTATGTCTCTTAGCGAGTCATTCCAAGTCGCTGCTTTAGTGAAAAAGTTACCACCGGCTTGGAAAGATTTCAAAAATTATTTAAAACATAAACGCAAAGAGATGACTATGGATGAATTGATTGTAAGATTAAGAATTGAGGAAGATAACCGAAAAGCTAAAAAGAGGAATGGGAAAAATCCCATTGAGTCCAAGGCCAATGTGGTTGAACAAGTTCATAAACCACATAACAAAAAGAGAAAGTTTACTGGAGGTGGTCCTAAACAAGACGATAGTAGCAAGAAGTTCAAAGGAAAATGCTATAACTGTGGCAAAACTGGACATCGAGCTTCTGACTGCCGCCGCCCTAAAAAGAATCATGGAAGTACAAGTAAGAAGACCACCAATCAGGCCAATGTAACAGAATTGGATTACATCTCTGACGGAGTGAATGACATCAACCTCACTGCTGTGGTGTCTGAGGCTAACTTGGTTGGAAATCCCAAAGAGTGGTGGGTTGACACTGGAGCAACTCGTCACATATGTGCGGACAAGAAGATGTTCACTAGCCCTTCCCGTTTTCAAACAGAATTAAACTGGTTTGGATTTACTGTTCATCCAAACAGGGCCCTTCCCGTTTTCAAACAGAATTAAACTGGTTTGGATTTACTGTTCATCCAAACAGGGCCCTTCCCGTTTTCAAACAGAATTAAACTGGTTTGGATTTACTGTTCATCCAAACAGGGCCCTTCCCGTTTTCAAACAGAATTAAACTGGTTTGGATTTACTGTTCATCCAAACAGAGCCCTTCCCCTTTTTTATCTGTTTGAATTATTAACCCAACAGATTCAAATCTGTTTAAATTTGAAACTAACAGGTTTCATACCTGTTCAATTCAAAACCAAGAGCCACCTTTACATCAATAAATAGACTAGCCTCCCATTTGGATTTCACTCGAATTTTCGTACTCCATTCTCTGCTTTAAATCTCTGCATTTTGCTGCATCTTATTTCTGAAAGAAAAAGTGTAAACACTTTGTGTGTTCGACGAACGATTAAATTGTAGTGCTGCTTTTATTCGTTGATAAGATCATTTTATCCTGGGAGATAGACGTCCAAATTCTGAAAGTACCGTGGAAAGGACGAATCTGTCTTAAGGACACAGTGTTAAACACTGGACTTGATCAGAAAAATTATTCAAATAAATTAACCAAGTAAGTTGTTTAATTTTATTCTGTTTTTATTTATTTATTTAATCAGATTTTATTTTTATTTTTGTAACAAAATAAAATCTGTGGTTTTATTTATTTATTTATTATTTCGAGTTTGATTTTTGTAATCAAACAAATTTTCTCATTTTCTTTATTTCTTTATATTCTTGTTGTTGTTTTATACACAACAGAATTTAATTTAATTAAATACAGTGAAGATTGTCTAACAAAAAGTATATGTCACGACCCAATCTCGGTACCTAAGGGTTAGGTAGGACAATAAAAAAAATAAATAATTCTAAACTTTTTGTATTAATAGCGCAAACGGATAAAATAAAATAAAATAAATGGGTACCAAAAAAAGTTCATTTAAAAGAAAAATATTCATTTGGGCATTATTTAATCACAAGAGTCTGATCAAAAAAAAAAAAAAACATGAATACTAATCAATATAATTGAAATATTAATATAGGTTATAAAACATGAATTGCATAAAATAAATTATGGTAACTCAAGACATACTTAAAATATATTATTGTGACTCAATGTATAATATAACTGACCTTTATATTGATCCTTAGTCTTTTACTTTCCTACTTTTGATTTCCCGCTACTTGTATGTTGCACGTTGGTTATTTATTTATATGTTTTTTTGTTCTCTTGGAAGAGGTGTGAGAATTGTGTTTCACCTTGATGAGAGTAGTGTTGCTGTAATGTTGTTAAAAGCTAGGAGCTGTGTGTGGGTAAAGAGGGGGTCTGCGGTACTCAAATATTGAGTGACATGGTCAAGGCGTGTCCAGGGCTCATGAGTATAAAGAGAACTTAATAGCTAAATGCTAGAAGTGGTTCTTAGGAAGAAATACCGGTTGTGTTTTCAAGTAACGACTATAGTGTGGACCACGATTGGCTGTGTGGTTCAAAATAGGTGGAGTACCATTGACCTTATAGGTCTCGTTTCATGCAAAAAGGGAAGGGTGCTATTACCTTATCGGCATACGAGATGAGATTATTGGAAACAGCGTTAGTGCGAAATATATATTTTCAAAGGTAAAGAGTTGGAGATGCAATAAAGTTCTATTTTTTTAACATACGCAAAAAATAAAATAAAAATTTAAAAATATACAACCATAGGGAAGTTTTTAGTTTTTAGTTTTTTGCGTAAGTAATCACAAGGAAGTTTTGAAGTGAGAAAAGGAACCCCTAATCTTTAACTTAATTAGATGCTAATAGGGGGTGTTCAGTAGATATTTCGATCCGTTCAAACTGACCGAATCAAACCGATCCATCGCATTTTGGATGGATGCGTGATGACAAATGGATGGTTACGGGTTGATTTTTTTCAATCCATCTAGTTTTGGACGAATGATGGATTTGAGATTCCTTTGACCACAACCAAACCGCCAAACTGCAAGTACCCATAGTAATTTGTAAAATTTTATATTTTCAATTTGTTTAGATATTCTGTTTGTGTTTTCAATTGAAAAAGAGTTTAGATATTCTGTTGTATTTTCAATTTGGAAATCCTTTTATCAAATGACAAGTATTGATATTCGGTATTTTTGTGTGGAAAATATAAAATTTAATTTTGTCATTTTTTTAAAAATCAAATTAATAAATAGTTTTTGAATAAAAAAAAGTAATGAAATAGTTTTGATAATACATGATTTTTTTATACGTATTTGTGTGGGTGATTTTCTGACCACACTGCCAAACAGGTACCCAGTTGGAGAGCACCAGCAGAATGGATTAAGCCCGAACGACCTGCAACAAAAAGAAGAGTTTCCGGCGGTGGCTCATCTACCCGGGGCATTCCGACAATCAAGTCAGTACTCAATATCTCTCAAAGATAACCAATAGTGCTTAACTCACTAGATAGAATATCAAAAAAACCCATGGGGGTGCATCCCTTTTATAGCCAATACAATCCTAGTCTCAATAGGAGCCTAGCTCTAATGGACTTAGGATTACTGCTAATCTTGAACTCCTAGTAGGATTGGGATAAATTCTCTAAGAGTCTCATCTTTACCCAAACTGAAGTCTTCTCTCATTCTAGGACTCTTGTCCCTTATCCGTTTATCTCGGATTCCAACATTTTCGCAGATAACCTCGGCTTAGCCGAGATGATCTCGGCATCATGACCATGACACGTGGCACCTCGGCTGGCACTCCGGTGACACCTCAGTCACGTGTTGTCATTCAAAAATTATGTCCCCACAGTATTTATTATTGAGATTTGACAATTTACTTGATAATCTTTTAGTTATGCTGAGTTGGATTGTTATTCAAAAAAAAAAATGTTGACAAATTGTTATATTATGTTCAAAATTTGTAAAAGTTTAAATCAGTAAACCGATTCGCATCTATCTGCCAATTCCCTCAATTTGCATCCGCCAATCTGGTGAACGGATGCAGATTGATTTTTTTTCAATCCGTCAATCTGAAGAACGAATAACAAATTGAAAGTTCCTTAACCGTAACCGTAACCGTAACCGTAACCGAATCACGAGCATCCTTAGGTGTTAGTGTGATTAATTGGGTTGGTTGGTTAAAGAGCCTATTATCAATTAGTCACGCAATGTTCCTGGCTGATTTCAAACACTTCATCAAACAATCTGACATTGTTATATGACATTTCAACCTATTCATAATGTAATACATTAATTACAATAAGTAATTTCGTGGAACAAATCAAATAATATTTCAAGAATATCACTAATGGGGAGAGAACAACTTTTTATATGTGCCAACCTGAAGTGTCCTATTTATGCCAAAAGAAAACATGTTCTATTCACATACTCTCATGGACATATCATTTTAAATCTTATCCAAAAGAAGAAAAAAAAAACAATTTTTTAACACATGCCACACACATTATTCACACATGTTTTATGGAGTTTTTTTTTTTTTTTAATATTCCAAAAAATTGAACTATTTTTAAAACAACTAATTTTTCAAACTAACTTGCTTTTTAAAATCACAAGTTCAAAAATGCGATTTCAAGATGAAATTATCCATGTCTACAAACTAGTGAAACATGCCAATATGAAATCTCATTTTGAATTTATGTTTCTTAAAAAGTCGGTTAAATTGTTAAATAATTTAAAAACTAGGTTACTTAGATGAATAATTTGATTTGGGAATATTTAGAGAGAGAAAAAACTCATGTTTTATGGGTAAAATAAATAGTTTTCATTTTGAGAAAATTACACACATCAGTGTGTTTTCAAAAAAATATTTACACAATCATGAAAAAGCTTATAATTTAACATTTTTATACTTATAATGTTTATCATTATCATTAATATGTAATTATGTGTTGAATAAAAAAGGGTTAAAGTCCAAAACATATATGGTGTTTGGGAACCTAGGTTCCAAATTTTTTTCTCATTTTTTTCACTAAAAGACAAATTTTTTACAAAACCAAAAAAAACACATCCACACAAAATATCACATCCAACCCCATAATCATTTTACTTTTTCTCTCACAAACATTACATCCAACCACATAAAAACCCAACTATCTTCCCAAATACCAAAAAAATTTTATCCAATAAAAACCTACAACTAAAAAAACCTACTTCCCAAACACCATCATAATATATATAATGTTTATTATGAGAAGGTCAATAAATGATTTATCGTGGTACGGTGGTAAAGAGCATCTTTTTTGGTTTTTCGACCTAGGGTTCGAATCGCGATCTCCTTCGTTTTTCTCTGGTGTTATTCATCTTCTGTAGAAAAACTTTTTGCAGATCGTTCACAGATCTTTTGATTATTTTCAACTCTGATTACACTACCAAGACTTCGAATCGAATTTCAAATCCTACTCATCATCAACATATATATACCATTGAAGATTTCATGGATTCAGATCAGCCCCCTTCGAATCCCAGAAAGGTTCTTTGTCATTTGTTTCTTCATTTATTTGCTCTGAGATTTCACTTGAATTTGATTTTTATTATTTTCGAATTATTCATGAAATTGTTGTTGTATGCAGGTTAGGTTTGCACCGAAAGGTCCTCCTCGGAAGAAGACAAAGCCGACTGAACCCAAAACGTATTCAATTGTTCGAATTTTTCTCACTTTGTTTTGCTTCACAAACTTGTGTTTTTTTCTTTCATTCTGATTTCTATTATTTTGAATTATTATTTGCAGTGAAGTAGTCGATGATGGTGATGATGCTAACGATAAGGATGAAGCTGCCACGTCTCTCCTCCTCCGCCGAGTCAACGTAACTCTCTCTCTCTCTCTCTCTCTCTATACTAGTTTAGGAAGGTCCGTGCTAATATATTTAAGTTTTGATTTTGATAATTTTTTTTAAATTAAAATATTGTTATATAAAATTGAATAAAGAAATTTATTAGATATATAACAGAATTATGTCGTACAGTATGTATCATTTTTTGATTTGTTATACAACCAATGATGTAGACTCTAATTTTATTACCATACCATTTTGGGAGAATTTATGAATTTTTAACATTTCTTTCAAATTTATGGTATGTAACTTTTCTCAATAAATACATATAAAACAAATACTAAGATAATTCTTCCATCTAAAAAAAACTACTAAGATAATTTACTGAACTAATAAATAAGCAAAAGAATGAATATCTATATATATATACAAATACCTAATTTTATTAATACATAAATTATATTCGCATAACGAATGACCAATTTTATTAATAAGTAAATCATTAAGTAAATTAATAATTTGTAAGGATATGAAAAATATTTTTCAATTAACCATTTTGTTAATAAATAAATCATTAAGTCAATTAATAGATTTTAATGATATGATAAATAATTTTCAATAAATAATTTTGATAATTTATTATTGTATAAGAGAATTTTTTTTTTTTGTTCCCTAGTATTGTGTTAAATGAAAATTTATAAAAAAACGGTAGTTGTAATTTCTAGTATTATAGGACTAATTATTACTTTAAACAAACCTTATGGGTATATTTGTAATTTATTAAAAAATAAAAGATTTATATTTTATAATTAACCAAGAATGTTTGCGTAATTACAAAAAAACTTATTTCATGATTGATCAAGAATGTTCACATAATGACGAAAAAATCTCTTGCATAATTGATCAAGAATGTTTGCGTAATTATAAAAAAATCTTCACTCATCATATAGGTCACTATTAGTAAATTATTCAAAATAGAAGGATAAAATTGAAAAAAAAAAATGAAAAAAGGAAAAAAAAAAAAAAAAAAAGACGAACCTCAAACAGTTAAGCGGTTCCTATATATAGAGATATATAATATCAATGTATATACATGCAGGTGTGATTATGAAGTAATATTTAGAAGACTCGACTCTGTCCTCATTTGGCTACACTTTTTAATTATAAAATTTTCAATTAATTTTATTTAGTGTGTTTGGTTTGAGTTTTTTGAATTAAGTTTTTTAAAAATTAAGTTTTTTAGTTTTCGTATTTTTTTTGTTTTTAGTGAATATTTTTAAAATTTTAAACATTTTTTTTAACTTTTTTAGATGCACCTTACTTAGATGTATTTAAAAAGTAAAAAATTTATAAAAAAATATTTTAAAAAATTAATAAATACATAAAAATATAAAAAAATGTACTGAATTCTCTTCTCTTTTTTTTGTATTTTTGATATTTAGTGAAATTTTAAAACGTTTTTTTCACAATTTTTTTACTTTTTAGGTATATTTATGTTGGATATGTCTAAAAATTTTAAAAAATTCAGTAAAAACAAAAAAAATACGAAAAACAAAAAAATAAAATTTTCTAAAAAGTATTTTTAAAAAACTCTAACCGAGCAAACAATTATTATTATTTAAAATTATTTTTTTTTTTTTTATAGTAATGTTATGGATATTGGCTTTTAGCTCAACTCGCATTTTTCGGAGTTTAAAATTGATAACCAAGTGTATCAAAGGTCGAGCTGGGGATAAATTTTGAAAGCCTGCTATCAAGCCTGCCAAATTTTGGACATGAGATTTTTTTGTTTTTTCTACTATAGGTCTGGCTCGATCTATGTTCACTCTTTTTTAAAAAAAAAAATTTAATCTATGAAAATTAAAAATTAAAATTTAAAGTAAAATTTTTTGATAACACAAACAACTTATTAGTTTAGCCCTAAAAAATGGCTTAAAAATGAGCCCTTATAGCATCTACGTATGAGCTTTTTAATTTGTATATCAAAGTGTGTTATATGCTCCCCCAAGAAAAAAAAAATGATAAAAGTGGGGTCAATTGTGTTAGTCTATTGGTAGATTGTGAAGTTGTGGCCTTTGATGCATATGGAAGTGGACAACTTGGGTTCAGTCTATATATGTAAAGACCAGGATCAGGCCGACTTCACATGGGGCTTAAAAACCTATCTCAAGGCTGTAACTTTATTCCAATCTCAACTCGCTCAATAAACTCATATATTAAATAAAAAAATAGATCTTATAAAATAAAAAATAAATCTTATAAATTAAAAAATCAATAACATTGTAGTTTAGCATAAGCATTTACTCCAAAGTAGTGTTTGGTTTATTGGAATGAATTGAAATGAAATAATCATTCTATCAAAATATCCTTTCCTATATTTGATTGACTAAAAAAATAATGAAAAATACATTGAAAATGGAATCTTTATTCACCATTATATGAGAATGATCATTCCAAAAAAAACTAGGAATGACCATTTTATTTCATTTAATCTCATTTCAATAAACCAAACCATGCGTAAGGGGTTGGCCTAGTAGCCAAGCCCCGGTTTAGTTTACCACCTTATTTGTATATGTTTCTCAATAGATCATTGAATTGTTGGTTCTGCATGTACAGGAGCATCTTGGAAGAAGAGGACCTAGAGTTGAAAAGAAGTGTAAGTTTTTGTTACATTGCACTTATTAATTGATGGCTTGATTATAGTGTTAATTTTGTCTGACTTGCTTGTTTGTATAAACTAACTATGTCATTTTGTATGACAAAAAGGGAAGAACTTGAACTCATTGAGGTGGCATGCAATCCAGTAACAAATAAGTTTACAAAATCAGAAACCAGTCACATAACCTGATAGAATATCAATGATAATAATGCGAGATGCTTGGTTGCATATACATGAATGTTACTACGAATTTAATGAGTTTGCAAACAACAAGAGTTTAATTTAAACTCTATAATTAAGCAGAATTTATCTGACAGTAAGGACTAACACCTGTTACCTAAAAAAGTTAAAGGTGCATACTGGTGATTGACGTTTGGGAATAACATTTGATGAGTCCTGAAGTTTATAATATGTTGGATTGGAATTTCAGAGGTCTACTTGTTCTTTTCTACTGTTTCTGTCTCAATTTAGCCTTCACATCAACAATAATCTATTTCCTAATTTCAATTTAACTTGTACTCGGTGTGGACAGAGGTGGCTCAACCATTAGGCCACTTAGGTTAAGGCCCTCAAGAAAATTTCAAAATAATCTTATTGTTGAAGGCCCTAACTTTTCAAAGGCTTACTTAGATGGGGCTTCATTTTGATGTTTAGCCCAAGGCCTCCAAAAAGATTAGGTTGCCACTGGGTGTGGAACATGACATTTCTAAGAATGGGCACGAGTTTCTTGTAATGAAGCCATAAATGTTAAATATTAATGTAGCTTCACTGGAGTAACTCAAACTTCTCTATTTCGAGCAAGGAAATGAAAGTAACAAGTTCCCAACTATTTTCACTTCCAACCAAGGCTATAGATGAGTCGAGTTGAGCTAAGTAATAGGTTATTTAAACTTAATGACGTTCGAAATGTGTTCAATCTTGGCTTGATTATCTTTTGAGTGAATCTCAAATGAGCTTCAATGAAGTCGATTATGACCCAAACTCGAGTAACATAATTTTTTACAGTCATAGAGTACAGATAAGCTCACATGTTTGGATTCAAACTTGCAGCTTCAGTGCAAGTTGCATTTGCTCATGGAGGTGCATCATCAACTTCCATAAGGACATATGGCATACCTAGGGAAGGGAATAGTGGTAAAATCAATGGTTCAGGTTTGAAAGATTCTGCTGTTGATGATGATGATGAGCAAATCCACTTTTCTTTGCCTTCAACTGCTAAACCAGATGGAAACACTGGAAGTTCTGTAAATGCTGCGGATGCATTCTATCAAAAGAAACAGAAAGACTACAGAGAACCTTGGGTGAGAAATCTGGATTACGCATATCTCTCTCTCTCTCTCTCCCATGCAATGAACATTTGTTTTCTTGATGACATGCAGGATTACCACCACACTAACTATCCTATTTCTCTTCCTCTGAGGAGGCCTTATTCAGGAAACCCAGGTTTGTTTTTAGATGCATCTCAATAGTAGCCACTCTTGTTCTTTCACGGTTTCTTGCCACGTGGGGTGTTTTGATACATATAGGAGTGAAACTCTTACAACTTTTCTGTAAAATTCGAATGCACGAACTCATCCTTCAGAATTGGGATTTGCAAAAATAGATGAATAAATGTAATAATAACAGAAATAACAATAATAATCACTAAAATAAAATGGAAAGGTCATTATATAATGGAATCATCCCCCAAACGTTCATTAGTCGGAGGTGAGCTTTAAAGCTTTAAAAGATAATGGTGTAATGTAGCATAATGATTATTTGCCAGTGTTTTTCATTTCACTTTGTGATGTTTAATACATCTTTTTTGGTTTTGGATTTAGAACTTCTTGATGAAGCAGAATTTGGGCATGATGCGATGAACTTGGAATATGATGAAAAAACTATAAACCCTGCTTTGGAGCTTGGCCTGCTGGTTTGTTATCTGATAAAAGAAACCTTCAAATAATGTCAAAATTTTTACCCAAATGACAAATTTGTTAGTATCAATTGCTTGAAATGTTGTGCTTAATTATGGACAGGAGGAAAATGACAAACCACAGATGATATTTCTTCAAATTCCTGCAAATCTTCCCCTAGTTAAGCGATCAGCTAGTGTATATGGGAAAGAGAGAACCGACAGTTCAAAAGCATTAGTTAGCAAAGGTGCATCAGCCGATGCAAAGGGGAAAGCAATAGCTGACGGATCAATATCATTAGCGGATACTGGTGTTTCATCTGCTGCAAAGGGGAAAGTGACAGCTGGCAGCTCTATGCCATTGGGTACGGGGAATGCTTCAACGTGGTGTTGTGGTTTGGGGGAATTGAATGGGGGATACATGGGCAAGATGCTGGTTTACAAGAGTGGAGCGATCAAGTGGAAGTTAGGAGAAGTCATATATGATGTGAGTCATATTGCATCCTTGCATTGAAACTTACTTATGTAATTTAGGGATTAGATAGACAAAATCAGAAGAACCATCTATGATGTCACTCAAATTCAAGAACTATTTTCCCACATAATTCAAACATGAAATCAAAACCCCCAAGAACAAAGAAATTAAAATTTATTGCTTTGAGGAAGCATACAACATGTGCATCAATATAGGAGCTTAAGGGATAATTTATTGAGATTAGAAGTATGTTTTCCTTCGTCTTCACAATTTAGTAGCTTAAGCGGGAATTTATTGAGATTACAATTAAACTTACTAGTGTGACTAAAATGATTTACAGGTCTCACCTGGTTTAAGTTGTGCATGTGCTCAAGATGCTGTAGCAATTAACACTGTCGATAAGGACTGTTGCGTGGTTGGAGAGCTAAGTAAGCGGGCCGTTGTGACTCCTGATATTGATTCCCTCTTGGACAATTTGATTGACTTGGGGTAGTGCTTTACAAGATTACCTACAATTTGAAGAACATGCTTTATATAGTTGTGGTAGAACTGCCAGCATGATGGATGTCGTAGGGTTGTATATTGAGTAAAGATTTTTATGTAAAATTGTAGCCAGATTAACTGACATTGCTGACTTGTTAGCATCTAAGATTGATCTGTTTATGTGCATGAACACTCTTGGGATTCAATATTCGTTGAGAAATATTGAACGAGATAGAAGTTGAGGTAGATTAATTGCCACCTTATAAATCACTGGAGTTTCTTTTATTGTGTATATGATTTAGAATGTACTCAATAGCCTGCTTTCTTGTCACCCTTGTACCTTACGTTTCTCATCCCAATTCTGGGGTATTTTGGAGCCATCAGTACTCAGAGTCTGTGAGTCATTTTAGCACAGCTTAGGAGATTAAAATGAGGATAAACTTCAAGCAAAGAGGCCTAATAAGAAGAGATGTCTGTGAATTGCAATTTCTTTCTCTGCTCTCTCTTGCCTTTTCTTTTTAAAATAAATTTTATTTACTCATTTTTAAAACAATTGATAAGAGAGAAATTAGGAAAGGGAAATTACATAAAGTAACGGTAAGAGTTAAGCATCATACCTATTAAAATAGTATCTCATTTACGAAGGCAATCCCTTGGTCTGAAAAAAAGATTATTCGACATCAATTTTTTACAGAGTCATGTGCCCACTTAGTAATGTGGCATATGATATAAAAATAAAAAATAAAAAGAAGAGAGAGAGAGAAAGTGAAAATAATCACATTTAAATTTGGGTAAAAATAAAAAACCAAAAGCTTGCTTGGAAAAGTCTAAATCGTAGAAAAACAAGTATGAAAAAACCCAGCAAGTAACATTTTTTTTTTAATAATTACCAAGCACATAGGCTTTTTGAGATTTTAAAAAGCAAAAAAAAAAAAAAAAGAGACAACAACAACAACAATAAATAAACAGCCATTAAAAAGAGATTGACAAATCTCATCCAAATTTTACTCATATTTTTAGGCTCCGTTTGATTAAAAAGAAGGGTCGTGCTAGGGAGCTCGAATCTGAGCTCCCCCGAATGCCCCGAATTCCATTTTTTTTTTTTTCAGCAGAAGAAAGAAGAAGACGGAGGGGGAGGGGGACTGTAGGGGGCCTAAAAAATGGGCTGGAGGCGGAGGCGGGGGGCGCGGCGATCGGCGATGGCAGAGGCGACGAGCAGAGGCATGGCGATCGGCGACGGAGGCGGAGGCGCGGCGATCGGCGACGGTTCTGCGACGGATCGGAGACGACGGCGACGGCGACCTCTTTCTCTCCCTCTCCTCACGTCCCTCCCACTGCAGGTCGAGGAAAATGGCAGGAAAAAAAAAAAAAAAAAAAAAAAAAACCTAATGCCCAAAACGACGTCGTTTTGGGGATTAGGGGGATTAGGGGGACTCATTTTCGAGCTCTCAAGCATTATTCTAAAAACAAAATTTAGTAGAAAGTGAAAGTAAAAAAAAATAAAGTGAAAGAAAAGAAATAGAAAAGAAAATATATTTTCTCTCAAGCATTTGATTAAAATGAAAATTTTGTAAGAAAATATAGAAAAATTTAAAATTTAGTTATGGATAACTCATACATTCAATTTTTCTTGTGTTTTTTTCAAGAAATAAAAAATTAGTTACAATACTAATATAAGTTGTACAAGAAAATTAATTTTCTTATACATTCTATCACTTTCACAGGCCCGGCCCTGGGCTAAGGCCAGTGAGGCCTGTGCCTAGGGCCCCAAAAATTAGGCCCAAAAAAAGGCCCCAAAATTTATTATCTTGTATTATATCAAAAATTTAAAATGACTCAATTTTGTTTAATTAGTTTAGGCCATTTTAAAATGCCTCAAAAGTTCTATTTGGCCCAATTGATAAAAGACCCAGTTAAAAAATATTTACAAGTGTTAATTGTTAGCCCAATTAAAAAAATAAAATATAAAATATATGTACATATTTGTGGGGCCTTTTTTTTTTTTTCCCTTCTCTTTTTATGGCCCAATCATGTGTTTTTTAGTGGTTTTTTTAAATATTTTACGCAATTTTATTTATGTATTTTGTAGATACATCTAATTTAGATACACTTAAAAATTATAATATTTATGCTTTTTTTTTAAAAAAAAAAAAAGTTACCAAATACAAAAAATATAAAAAAATACGAATTACAAACTCAAATAATTATTTTTGAAAATTCTAAACCAAACAGGATGATTTTTATTTTTATTTTTATGAATATCTAAACGGCCCTAAAAAATTGTTTTGCCTTAGGCCCCCGAAAACTCAGGGCCGACCCTGCACTTTCAAGCTAAATAAATTTATAGAAGTTAAAAAAAAAAAATATTCTCTTTCTATCACTTTCTACATATTTCATTCTAAGCAAACTAAGCCTAATAAATGAAGGGGAATCAAATATTTAATCAAAAATTTTAAGACTATTTTGTAGATCTAAAATTTACCACCACTTTACCATTAGTAAAATATTTATTTAAATTTATACTTAAACATGAATTTATACATATTTTATACTTGGACAAATTACAAATATATTTTTGAAATTTGTTTAAAATACGAATTGTTTCATGTACTTTGAAGAATTACAAATATTCCCCTGTCATATTTTTTATTTAACAAAATTAATTGAAAGAATGAAATTGTTAACTGCTTTCCTATACAATAATAAAGTTACCAACTTTTTTAATTGAAATATATTTATAACATTATTAAAAATTATTAATTGACTTGATAGTTTTATAAAATTTAAAACTTCAAGAAACATAATATAATTTTCAAAATTATAAAGGACAATTAATATTTTAAACAAATCTCCTTCAAAGGGTGTATTTATAATTTATTAATTTTATTTTTGGGACCGGTTTCTCCCCAGTCTTTTTTCGAAGGTGCTATTCGGCCTAGTGGGCCCACTTTTGGGTTCTGTTTTAATGATGCAAACCGTTTGTATTTTAAAGTTCGTCGAGTACAATCATTTTGTAAAAAATAAGTTGATTAGATAACAGAAACCACATGTTCGAATCAATTTTGTAAACAAAAATAGATGGTAAAAAAATAAAATGTTCATATAAAATTGATCTAAACACATGTTTCTATTATCCGATCGACTTAATTTTTTACAAGAATAATGTACTTGATAAATTTTAATACGTGAACAAGTTAGATCATCGAAGTGGGGTCCAAAAACCGGCTCAATAAACCAAACTAGGCTGTCCAATCCGATGAAGGAGTGAATACAATTCCGCTCCTTTATTTTTAGCCAGAGGGCAAGCTCATATTCAAAACAGTAATACTACAATTTCAAAAAAATTTACTTCAAATTTATCTAAAAATATCAATTCATAACTTAAATTCATTTTATATTTAAACTCATACTCTATCAATTCAATCTCCATCGTACAAACATCACACCCAGAATTTTCTAGGCCCGTAAATTTGGGTGTTTTTTTTTTTTATTATTCAAAATCAAACGGCTATTGTATTGCCCATTTTGTAGTGGCAATTCGCATAAAACCCGTTTAACATTCGGGTCATTTTGGTCAATTAAACAGACGCATATATATACACTGCATTCTAAAACCCTAATTCTCTCCCGTCCCAATCTCATCTCACTGTCGTCGCAGGAGCAGCAGCACCAACTGAACAACCATGGGTACGCATTTGTCGATCTGTTTTCATCTCTGGATACATTTAGTTAGTTCTCTTTCAATATTAATCTAAACCCTAGTTTTCGCTGATTATGATTCAAGATAATGTACTGTTTCATTTCCCGTTTCTCTTTTTTTGTTAGTTTGATTGATGGGTCTTTTAATATGATGTCATTTTTCAGAATTTGGGATATAGGGTTATTCTCACACCATTGTTAATGAATTTTGCATTGAGTTTTGTGAGATAATGAGTTGTTTTGGCTCTTGTTAATGATTGATTATTAGGTCATCTCCAGCACTTAAACAAATTTTTACTCAATGAAATTTGAGTAAAACCTTAATTTGATATGAAGCACTTCAATGGATAAACTCAGTCTTAAACATTAATTTTAGCAAAGGCTGAAGTTATGGCAGAGTTGTAAATTTGAAAGCTACAAAATGATTTTGAAAACTTTGAGTAAACATTTGAGTGTCCAGTAAAAAAAAGAAGAAAAAAAAAAAGAAGGTAAAATTCAAATTTGATATAAGTTTGAGTCAAGGAGTGGTGAGGTTTTTGAGTGGTTTTTACCAAAATTTAAATTTGATATAGGTTTGAGTCTAGGGTTGGCGATGCCTGGACATTTGTATGTTAGTACGCGTCTGTGTTTGTAATTATTATAGACTGGTATGACTAGGAGCTGTTCATCCTAAATTGAATTTTGATTCATACTAGGTTTTCTCATTGGTTCTGAGTATTAGCATTATTTATGGTGATACGCATACAAACACATATGTGAGCACAAAAATGCATTTAGAAATGGGGTACTGACTTCTGATATGTGAGTTTTGTGTTTCTATACGGGAATAATGTTAGGGGCTTACACTTATGTGTCGGAGCTCTGGAGGAAGAAGCAATCGGATGTGATGAGGTTTTTGCTGAGGGTGAGGTGCTGGGAATATCGCCAGCTTCCTTCCATTGTGCGCGTCACACACCCTACTCGCCCTGATAAAGCTCGCCGTTTGGGTTACAAGGCCAAGCAGGTATATGATGTGTGTTTGATGTTCACTTCTACTTGGTGTTGTCTTCTCTTTTTACTTTCTTTTTTTTTCTCCCAATTTTGTGGTTTTTTTGTTCATTACTTGTTCCTGTGAACAGATTGGTAATTTTTCTGGTTTGTTTCTGATTGATTCTGATTCCTTCACCTTTCGTGAATGTGGACATGATTGACCTATGTCTTGCTCTTTTGTTTTTTGTTTTTTTTTTTTTTTATGCTTTAGAATTACTAAAGTGGCACAGGTTTGCTCATTCCCCTCCACCCTCCCCCCACCCAAATAAATTTGCGAGACAAACATGTAGGACTTATGTGGGAATTATAAGTTTAATGGCTGCTTTTGGTAGATAAGCTATCCTGTGAAGTATGGTTTACTTCATTTCTTATAATCAAGTTGTTCATTGGCCACAAGAGATTTCATATGATTGCCACTTCTCAAATGTGGGGTTTGATTGATTGTGATTTTAATTGAATGAACTTTATGTTTTCACAATCAATGTGTCTGCTTGGTTTTGTTTTGATATGATAAGCAATTAACTAGTTTTGAGCGGTGTCTAATAATAGACATTCTGGAATTTTCTGTTCTGATTAAAAAATTGGATGTTCAACAAATTCATGCTAAAAATTTATGCTAGTTGTACACAACATTAAACATGCATAGATGGTCTAAAGTTTCTGTTTTCTTCTCTTTCCATTTTTAACCCCATTTTTTGTTTGGGGAAAAAAGAGGGGTGGGCATTTTCTAGTCTTATATGTGATGAGTAGTGAGGATACTACAGGTGCTATTTTTGCATTCTTTTTCTGGTGTTTGAATATTTTTCTTGCTTGTGTTTTATGCTTGGTGACCATGGTCGTTAAAATCGCGATCCGGATCGTAGGATCGTACGATCCTACGATCCTACTTTGCCAAAACGATCCAGATCGTTGTAGGATCGATGTTATAACAGGATCGCAAGTAGGATCGTGTAGGATCGCATGGGATCGTGTAGGATCGTATGGGATCGTGTAGGATCGTATGGTAGGATCGCAAGTAGAATCGTAGATTTTATGATTTTTCACCTTATTTTTAATATGTATCATTTTAATTATTATTTTTATCTTTTTTTCTAATAGAAAGTAGGATCTTACGATCCTCGATCCAATCCACCAGACACTCTCACCGATCCTACTTAGGATCCCGATTTTAACAACCTTGTTGGTGACTGAAGTAATTATTTGTTTAGGGTTATGTCGTCTATCGTGTCCGTGTAAGACGTGGTGGACGGAAGAGACCAGTTCCTAAGGGAATTGTATATGGTAAACCCACAAATCAAGGTGTTACTCAGCTGAAATTCCAACGCAGCAAGCGCTCAGTTGCAGAGGAACGTGCTGGTCGGAAATTAGGTGGTCTCAAGGTTCTTAACTCATACTGGATCAATGAGGTTAGTATGAATTACATATGCTTTCATCTCACATTTTAACATCTCACGCTATGCGAATTTTTCATGCGAATTTTTCTTATGGAAATGTACAGTTTTCTTGTTCAGACCACCATAAGCCGTTTATTATATATACTAATAACACGCAAATGAATATATTTATCAAAAAAGAAAAGAAGCAAATGAAGATAGCGACAAGAAAATTGTTTTACCATGAGATGTATTGGCAAAACTATTATAATGGGATATTTTTGGACCTTCTGACATCATCTTGTGGTTTTTGGATTCGTTAACCTTGTTTTGATGGAATGCCTAATTATTGGTTTGAGGTATATGTTTCTATACCTATAAAGCATGGACACAGTTTCAAGGTATAGATACGATGTGACAAAACCTAGGGAAAAAAAAGAAGATATTGGTACGACCAAGATACCTTAATTATTTTCACCCAAAAACAGATCTTAATTTTAAAAAAAAGGTATTGTATTATACATAACCCCAAGAAAGGTGAGAAACAATTATTAGGAATTAGATCCTAATTTAAAAGCCAATAGTCAGTTTACTCTTTTTTTTTGTTTTATATATATTTATATTTCTAAACTATTTATATTGTTGTGCTTTTCCCTTTCACACTTAGAAGTGTTATATTCAAAAGTATTGTACACAAGTTTGATAGTTGAAATCCAATTTAGTATTGTTTTGTTTTTTTTATTTATCTTTATTTTCCGTAAGGTATGGATAATATGGATATGAGACACATTGTATGATGCATTAAGGACATGTCAATTTAATAAATTTTGAAACAGTTTGATAATACAATCTCTCACTATTTTCTTAAAACTAAGTATTCAAAAGCTGTTATTGTATTTATCCTAACATTTGTTTGTACTCTAATACTATGCAAAAATTATTACAATATCAACTTTATAATAGTTCGGAAATGTGACATAGAGTATCTAAAAAGTATCCAATACTTCTCAAAATTTTAAAAAATTAATTAGGTTTAGGAAGTATCGGATACGTATTCGTGAGTATCCGTGGAGTATCAATAACTTATATAGGTACGATACAGACATGACTCCCTTTTAGAAGTATTTGTGATAGGTTGGGCTTGTCCTTGCTAAGAAACATGTGCCAATTGCTGGATTTGGTCCAGGAATGTCGTTTGAGCTGCTAAAGAGATATTGTCCGGAAGTTGGCATTTGTAATTCTAGCCATTTATTCTTTCAGGATTCTACTTACAAATACTTTGAGGTAATCTTGGTTGATCCTGCCCACAATGCAATCCGTAATGACCCGAGGATCAACTGGATCTGCAACCCTGTTCACAAGCACAGAGAGCTTCGAGGACTCACCTCGGCTGGGAAGAAATACAGGGGTCTTCGTGGAAAGGGACATTTGCACCACAAGGCACGACCATCGCGAAGGGCTACCTGGAAGAGGAACAACACACTCTCTCTCCGGCGCTACCGTTAATTTTTGCGACGTTGGGGTTCTTGTTATCATTGTAGTTTTGGGCCTCTTTGTTGTAGGATTTTTTATTCTTGCTTTGAGACCAACAGTTTTGGGTTTATTGGTTTGAGGTTTTGAGTTATTTGAGATGATATTTGATCATATTTAACTTATTATTGGAATTTTTTTTTTTTTGGTTGGGAGATAGTCATATATTTGTTGTTGGGATGCGTCTTGTGTTTCTTTGTGGTTGAGATGCTTTGATGCCTACACTGAAATTGATTGGAAATGGGCATATTCATGATTTATTGAAATCAATTATATACCCTACTATCTGATTCCCAGGCAAATCAAGTGAAGAAGAATGATATAGCATTTTCACAATAAATGAATTTTATCTTGTTACATCCTTGTTCATTTAAAAAAAAAAAAAAACCTAGTTCAAATATTCAGATTTTTTATTTTCTAATGTTTAAATTGTGTTAATCCAGTCTTTAATGTACAAGAAGTATTTCAATTTAATTTCTCACTCTTAACTCTGTTAATTAATACCTAATTTAAACATTAGGGAAAATTGAAATGCTATTTATGCACGGGAGATCAGATTGATATAATTATTGATTGCTTGAATTAGGAGGCATACTTTGTATTATTTTCATCTTTTGGAAACAGAGAAAAGTTATTTACCTACCTATTTTTCTAAACTGTTAATTTTATTTTTGCCCCCCAAAAACAATCAACTTTTTAGAATAAAAATTAGTCCTATATTTTGGATTTATGATCTATATAATCTCATATTTTTTCTTGTGATCTATTTAGTTTTTTTGGATGTGTAAGGACTCATTTGTCCGTTATATTGAAATGTCACATTTGAAAAAATATATATACTAAAGAGTTTTTAATTTTTTTAGAGTATCATATCATACAAGTCACAACATTGCATTTTGAAAAAAGTAAACTAAATAGTTTTTAATTTTTTTAGAATATCACATTATAATTTTAGTTTTTTTAGAGTGTCGCATCATACCTATTATGATTAGGGGTGTGCGCGGTGCGGGTCGGTGCGGTTTGAGAGAAAAATAGAAACCGTATGGCGGGTGGCGGATTGATAAAAGTGTCACTAGAATTTGCCATTTTCCTTATCAAAAACCGGCGGTTCGGTTGGCAAATAATGGCGGATTTGCCTTGGTGGTTCGGGCGGATTGGCGGTTTATAAAAAATATAATTCAAATTACAAAACTTAAATCAAAGAGTAAAAAAAAGACGAGAGACATCGTGATGTTAAGCATCTTGCGAAACTTTCTTCTGATGCAGCAAGTGTAGCAACAACATGATAATATCAACGACTATGCCATCAGTTCATTACAAGTATCTGTGGAAGCTGCAATGATCAAATACAATACATAAAATTCCCCTCGAGCATTAATGTAATACTATATTCTAAGGTATAGAACAACAAGCAAACTTAAGTAAAAAAGAATTTTTAGAATCCTATAAAACATGATTTAATAGCGGTGCGGGTCGGTGCGGTTTGGAAGAAAAATAGAAACCGGCGGATTGATAAAAATGTCACTAGAATTTGCCATTTTTCTTACCAAAAACCGGCGGTTCGATTGACAAATAATAATGAATTTGCCTTGGCGGTGCGGTTCGGTGCGGTTTTGGCGGTTTCGGCGGTTTTGGCGGTATTATGCACACCCCTAATTATGATGAAGTGTCATATGTTGTATTTGGAAAAAGTACAATAAAGAGTTTTTATTTTTTTTGGAGTGTCACACCATATTAGTCACGTTGTCACATTTGAGAAAAGTACATTAATAAGTTTTTTGTTTTTTTGGAGTGTCATATCATACCCGACACATTAAAGTGTCACATGTTGCATTTGAAAAAAGTACACTAAAATTTTTTAAAATTTTTTGTAGTGTCACATCATACCCGTCACGTTATCATATTTGAAAAAAATATACTTAGGAGTTTTTAGTTTTTTGAAGTATCATATCATACCCATCACGTTGGAGTCTCATATTAATACTTGCCCCATTAATAAAAGAGTATAGCTGTCTACCAAAACACTACCAAAATCGAAAAAAAGACCACACGGAAAGAAATTCTCCACTAATAAGATTCAACATATCAATAAAAAAAAATTGAGATTAATTGAATTACTTATTTATGAGATATGATTTATTAATAAATATCCCTAAAAATTGGCGGGTGCTTCTAAATTTTTCATTACTTTTGTTTTTATAGACACGAAATACAAAAACATGACCAATATGAAGTTTATTAATTACTGGAAAAAAAATTAATTATTCTGATATCAAGTATTGAACTGAATTTTTGTTTAGCAATTGATATCCAACTATGAATTTTTATTCGTGGTAAATATCCAAATAAAAAAATAGTATAAGTTAAAAATTTTGTGATGTGAAAATATCATTAATTAAAAAAAATAAAAATAAAAAATAGTCCATTGCATTGATTAATGGGTTAAATCTTAAAACCCAAACAGTATTCAGTCGCCCTTGTGCACTCCCATAAAGTCAATGCGTTTGTTTGGTAACCAAAAAAATCAATGGATTAAAAAGTAATGAAGACAAAAAAAATGTCACCAACATTCTTCATACTTAGATTTGGTTTTCATCAGAAATATAAAGACAAAGGGAAAAAGTAATGAAAACATCAATGTTTTGTAATTTACTGAAATTTCTTTGAATTTCAACCAAGCAATAGAGTTTGAGTTGAGACTAAGGAAAGTAAGTGCAAACACCACAAGCGCCGCTGTCTCCACCCATAATCTCTCACTCTCTTTTGCACTGCCCACCTGCTCTTCAACCACTAACCCTTTCCCACCTGCAGATCGTATTCTTTTTGCACGCTATCTTGTTTTGTTTTGTTTTGTTTTATTTTGTGCTGAGTTAGGGTGGGGATAATTTTATTCTTTCTTCTTAGAAAATAACGTTAATTGTGTGGGGATCTTTAAATGCACTCTAAATTTTTTCATTTTTAATACATCATTTCTTAAGACACTTCATTGTTGAGTGTTTGTAAATTGGGTTGGGTCGGATAACTTCTCATTTGTCATCTATCTAAATGTAAGTTTTGAAAAAAATCAATCTGCATCCGTCTGTCTAATTAGCAGATGTGAATTGAGCAGATCGTGCAGATTGGTCGATAAATGCGAATTAATTTGACGATTTGAATTTTACTATTTTGAGCCTTTCCCTTCTTGTTCCTCCGCCCCTTCATCTTCGCTTCTTGATGCCCCCATCAATTTCCCTCCATTCCTACCTCAACCTCTTTTGTTCCTTCCTTTTCAAACCACAACTCTAGGCCTAAGCCCACCACCCACCCTCATAGTGTGCGTGCGCATATATATATAGAGAGAGAGAGAGAGTAGCACGTGTAGAAGGAAGGGGATGTGGATGAAGAGAACTTATTTTTTACTTCTAGGATAATATCATGTGGTACTCTAACTTGATATTCATTTGTTAAAACAATAAGATTCAGTGTTTTTTTGTGGATTTTTAAAGAATAACTTGACAAATGTTAAGTGATAAATACCACTCGTAGAAGAGGGAGGCGGTAAGGATTAGGGAGTGGCATAGGGCTAGGGCGGGGCAAAAAGGTTTGGGAATGATTGGCCACAATTGAGGCTAGGGTTGTCCCTTTTGGTAGTTTGATTTAAAGATAAAATAATATTTATTTATTTATTTTAATACTTTTTTTAATTTTAAAATGAGGTGTGCAACAAATTTTTAAATTGCCTTTAAAGGCTCCTCAATGCTACCTACTAAGAAAAATGTTCAAATTTTGAAATCTGTAAATTATATTCATCTTAATATGCAACATACATTGAAATTATGATTATTTTTTAAACTATTTTTTCTAGGACATCACATTTATGAGGATAGAACGGTATTGTATGTACAAAAACCCATTAAATAAAAAAATATAAGTTTACAAAACCAAGTAGAAGTGACTAGTGTAGACTCCATATTTGAGTTCAAATCTTACCATTGTAGCTTCTCTTTCATTTATTCCCTTTAGAAGAAAAACTATTGAGCATTGAATGCCAATAGCAAGAGTACACCCACCATCTAAACATATAATCATACAACATTGTTCTAGAATCTATGGTTATATGCATAACTCAAATGTTATAAAGTTGGATTAAATAAAATGTCAGTCTCAAAAGTATGTATTTTGTTCTATTTTAAATTATAATATTTTAATTACAAGTCAATTTGAATTCAACTTATATAATTTGTGTTTAAATGGTTCTCACACTATTTCTATCCAAATTTTATAACATAAGCAGGGGTAATATTTTTTTTAAAGGACAATTTGAACAAAAATGGCGTTAGAAATAATTTAAACACAAATTAATTAAGTTAAAAACTAAATTGAAATGTTAAAAATTAAAATAACACAAAGTTCTAGCATAAGTAATGAATGAGAGGGATATAAAGAAGCCAAGAGTGATGATTCATAGGACACCCACAGGTGAATGTATGGTATGGGTTGTCCTCCAGTGTCACTCTAATAAGTGACCTACAACAACTTCAATTGGTAATTATAAGCTTTGAAAGCTTAGGTAAGAAAAAAGGTGAAAAAAATAAAAGAAAATTTGGAACATATGATTAAAGATGTCGACTCACTAGGGGTATAGGAAAGTATCCAACAAACAAAAACAAAGACCTAGACTTGTATTATCTTCTAAAACAACAATGATGACTGGTTTGAGTTTTTTTTTTTCGCTTTAAAGACTCCCTAATGGATTTGGTACCTTGTCTTTGCGTCAAAATGAAGACATCTTTGAATGCCACAACTACATATTTTAGTCAAAAAGAAAATATAAATTTTAATTTTTCTACTAAATAAATAATCAAATATTTCACATAAGTGGACTAATGTGAGACATTTAGTCATTTATTTGATAGAAAATTTGATATCTCTAACATTACCTTAGTCAGAAAGTCAAAAAAATTACTATAAATTGTCACATCATTCTCTCTATTAAAAAATTAAAAAATTACTAAAATAACTTATCCTCAAATGAGACTTAAAGTGCTCAAAAAAATAAGTAATTACTTAGCCAAAAAAGACAAGGAGAGTAGAAAAATAAATTATAGGTCCCATTTGTGTGAATAAATTATTTAAATTATTTAAGTAGAAAAATACATTTTTTCACACACTTTTGTGTGTGAA